AAAACCATGTTCCAAAGTTCACAACACTGGGGCAGATCATCTTCAATGGCTAAATGACCTATGAATTTGAAAATCATGCCGAGAAGTCAGGATTGTAATCTTTGACTTATTAGAGACTCAAGTCCATTTACTGATATCCTTTGTCCTAAGTCAAGGTTATTATTCCCAGTTGAAGTTTGGATTGTTATCCTCAGTAGGATATAAGCAGTAACGCAAAGATCATTTGGGGTTAGTTTAATCGTACGAGACGCGATGGAGATGTTGCTTCCTAGGGGGATGCCGCTTCCCAGTAAAAGACTTGTTTCTACTTGACAAAGATCTATCTACCAAGGGGTTTCTATTCTAAGATATTTTCTCCCCAGTGAAGCATCCTCATTTCTCTGTAGGAGGAGAATGGTCCTTCTCCTCATAAAATTGGGAGTTGTTTAAAGTCAAGATGATTCCTTTTCGTTGGACTGCAATTTATTTTTGCAGCATTTTCTCTAAAGTCCACTTTTAGTGGTATTTCTCCTCGGAGGCGACGTGTGGAAGTTGCAATCTTGCATCACAGTTTTCATCCGGTGGTTGGTAGTTCAAATTGTTTATTCTTCAGTAAAGTTTTCCATTCCAAACTGGGGCATGTTGCCACAATTTCTGTTTTTGCAAGTACTATTGGTCTTTTATGACAAGAAGCATACCAAAAAATGAATCAAGAAGGGTCTGTATGTGACCAACATGAGGATTTTCGTATAATGAGATCCAATTTCCCTAGTGGAACTATTCTTCTTTCCCTAGTGGAGCAAGTTTCATATCTCTCTAGTAAGGTGTATAGGAGAATTCCAGTCATAACTCTTTTGTTACCAGTGATAGAAGATTTTATTGAGATATCCCTAGTGGAGTTTATATCCCAGGATGTTTGTTTCTTCCCCAAGTGAGGATCTTTTACCTCCCAGCAATGTTATCCCCAGTGTGGTCTGAGTAGAATTCTTTTTATTTAAGAATTTCTATACTCCCCAATAGAAGTTATCTTCGTCAAAGAATTTCTATGCCAAAAGTTTCCATTCCCAACAAAGCTTTCCTCTTTCCTACAGAGGATAAAGAATTTGTTCCCCTTGAAGTTGGGAGTTTGATCAGAATTCAAGATTTTCTCTGAACTGCAATTTATGTTTGCAGTATTCTTCCCAGGAAGTTACTTCCCCAGTGATATCGATCTTTAGAGGTTTGTGGTTCCGGGTCTCGGTGCCCCATTGAAGTTTAGATTTCCTTTTTTCTATAGAAGATCAGATGTGCGAGAATAATCATTCAGAATTCCATTATCTTCCCAGTAGCCGATTATTGACGTGTCTTCCCTAGTGCATTACTAAACATGCATCATTACATTGCATCTGCCAAAACACGTAGCATTTCCATTGTATGGAGCATTACACTATAAAAAATTCAAACACGCATGAGTATAAGCTAATTATGTTTACTTGCAGTAACCAGATTGTTATGCATTCAGATTTGAGTTATCCCTACAAGAAGCCTAGGGTGATTCTATTTTGTTTCCCCAGCGGAGTCTGTTTGAATTACCACCAGTCGGGCTTTGGTATTTCTCATTGTCTTAGTAAGTCGTAATTCTCTCTTGCCCTTGCAAGCCTTTGGTTATTTTGCCCGTGTTTATCTTTGCCGTTAGAGTGCGAGTAAGAGTCGGTGTATAGCCTTTCTTGCTTCTCAAGTATTTGAGTATCCATACTTGGTGTGTGGTAATCCAGATAATTTCCACTCTTGAAGAATTACACCCCGCCTTTGGCCTTATGGATTTTGTAGTTCTTGCATATTTGCAACTCTAAAAGCTCAACATATTTTTTCGATATCCTTGGTTATACTCCCTTTCCTTCGGACGTATATTCCTGATATCCTTGGTTAGAGTCCTTTCCTCCGGCCTCTTTCCTTATATATGTCCTTTCCTCCGGACATATTTTCTTGATGTCCTTGGTTAGATTCCTTTCCTCCGGTCTCTTTCCTGTTATGTGTCTGCTACCGACCCCAGACATGTGTTCTTGATATCTTTGTAAGAGCTTTCTTCGGTCCGTCTCTTTCATACGTATCCGCTACTGACCACGGATATGTATCTTTGATACCTTTTTCGTATGTCTGCTACCAACCCCAGACATGTGTTCTTGATATCTTCGTAAGAACTTTCTTCGGTATGTCTCTTTCGTACGTATCCGCTACCGACCCCAAATACGTATCTTTGATACCTTTTTCGTATGTCTGCTACCAACCCCGGACATGTATTCTTGATATCTTTGTAAGAGCTTTCTTCGGTCTGTCTCTTTCGTACGTATCCTCTACCGACCCCAGATAAGTATTTTTGATACCTTTTTCGTATGTCTGCTACCAACCCCAGACATGTGTTCTTGATATCTTTGTAAGAGCTTTCTTCGGTCTGTCTCTTTCGTACGTATCCGCTACCGACCCCAGATATGTATCTTTGATACCTTTTTCGTATGTCTGCTACCAACCCCAGACATGTATTCTTGATATCTTTGTAAGAGCTTTCTTCGGTCAGTCTCTTTCTTACATATCCGCTACCGACCCCGGATATGTGTCTTTGATAACTTTTTCGTATGTCTGCTACCAACCCCAGACATGTGTTCTTGATATCTTTGTAAGAGCTTTCTTTGGTCTATCTCTTTCGTATGTATCCGCTACCGACCCCGGATATGTCTCTTTGATACCTTTTTTGTATGTATGCTACCAACCTTAGACATGTGTTCTTGATATCTTCGTAAGAGCTTTCTTCGGTATGTCTCTTTCGTACGTATCCGCTACCGACCCTGGATATGTATCTTTGGTACCTTTTTCGTATGTCTTCTACCAACCCCAGACATGTGTTCTTGATATCTTTGTAAGAGCTTTCTTCGGTCTGTCTCTTTCGTAGGTATCCGCTACCGACCTCGGATATGTGTCTTTGATACCTTTTTCGTATGTTTTCTACCAACCCCAGACATATGTTCTTGATATCTTTGTAAAAGCTTTCTTCGGTCTGTCTCTTTCGTACATATCCGCTACCGACCCCGGATATGTATCTTTGATACCTTTTTCATATGTATCCGCTACCGACCCCGGATATGTATCTTGATACCTTTTTGTATGTCTGCTACTGACTCCAGGCATATATCTTTTGATATCTTTCTTGCAGGTGTTTGTTACTAACTCCCAAGAGATGTTCCTTGATAACCAAGTTCTTCTTCTGTGTGTCTAACCCTGGTTAAACATACATTTATACCTGATAACCCCTTTAACCCAAAAAGCAAAAAGAAAATAGAAAATACAGAAAACCAAAAATATAATGTATTCCTGACTGGCTTCAGAGTGCAAATTTTCGCGTTCTTTAAGTATTTAATATTCTTCCACCCTGAAAGTTCGAAAGGCTGACGCCAATCTCACCTTCAGGTTTAAGGCAATTAAATAGGGGCAGTTGTTGCACCCCAAAATTTTCCCTCCTAATTTCCTTTATTTTGGCTTAGACTTTTTTCATTCATCTGCATATATTCCTTTAGGTCATTAGCCGAACATTGCATTCAATAAGCGCCTGAGGTACAAGAGTTCAGTGGGCGTGCAAGCTAGGGTTTTTACAACTGACTGAGGTTGCAGGTTTTTCTTGGCAAGAACTCAAGGGTGTGACCTAGCATGCATAGCCTTTAAATCAAGACGTTTCCTCATATAAGTATGCTTATCATTTGATCAGGATTAATGACTATGACATGGCATTCATCCACTCTTCAGTTAATTAATTTAGGCTTTGTTGAATCATGGTTCAAAGATGTTTCATCCGAATATTTCTTTGTGCATATGAACTAAGGAATCAAGATTGTGAGGTGTGGTTAACAGGATTTCTTTCTCTTCACGATATAATTGTTTTTATCCAGTCTCGGCAAGTGCAGGGATTTTCATTTTTTGCGACTAGGATTTCGTGTCAAGGGAATTCTTCAGTGATCTAAACCCTATCATCTATCTGTAAAAATGTTCCTCATGACGTTAATTTCGAGTTGAGATAACCGGTCTCTAAGGGTGGAGGATCAAATTATGAAGCGTAACTCATGGCCTAGGATATGAATTTGTGGACTCCTTATTATTCAAGGCAATTATTATTCTTATCATTGTCATTTGCTGTCTGCAATACAAGTGGATTTGGATAGAAGTAGACTGCTTATTGAAGGATCCATGCAAGGAGAGTCAGGGTTCATTCATAATTTGATTCAGGAGTTTTATTCAAATATGCAACAGAATTTTAATTCATTCATCTTGTATCATGGTTCATTTTATATGATAAATCAAGGGAAACTTGGAATTTAAATGCTAAGGGGAAGGAAAAATCCATTCAAAATCCATTTAAATGGTTACTTTGGTTATAGTTTGTTAAATTGGATCAACTTTCCTTGAGGAGTGAGTGTGTGGATTATTTGGAGTTCGAGTGATAGATAAGGATCATTCATCATCCAATGTTCATTATTTGAAAATCATCTTGATTCAAACATCATGGAATTCATCATTCGAGTATTGATTCGAGTCCATTAAAATAATCAATCATCATTTAAGGTTCTAATTAAAGTTCTTCAAATCCCACTCAAAATACATATGAATCTATTCAAGTGAATTTCATTCACTTGGGTTCAAATACATTTCAAATATATCATTCAAAAACCATATTTCCATTATGAGATTGGTCTAGATACATCATTGTTACTTTAACCAATTCATACAAAATACATTTGAACCAAAGTTCCTAAATTCTAAACCTTAGATACTATCTCCATCTTCCAACTATTCTTCATGCTTCTTTGCCAATTCCTTTGATAACCTTCAATCAATTCAACATACTTCATGTATCATGTGTCCATTTAAAGCCTCCATCATGCTAGCTTTTACAAGACTTCAAATTCTTCATGCTTCATTGCTAAAACATGCACCAAAACATCTCCAAATCAGTTCACGACTCGTCCAGGAAGTCCTAAAATATGACAAAAAAAAGTCTATCCATGCTTCGCCATCACCTTAGTCCTGCCTTGCACTTTATGCACCCATATGGATGACCCTGTACAAAAAAGAAAGAAAGGAGGAATTAATTAAGTCTGCATTCAAGGTCATTGCATTATCATACTACTGCACTCACTAACAGAAAAATAGAAAAAACAATGGAAAATAGCAGAAAATCAAGAGTTAGTGGCTAACTGTCAGTATATCAGAAATCAGAAATAAAATTAAATCAACAGAATTCTAACTTTCCTGATTTTCTAGCCATTTAACAGAACCAACTGATTTTCTAGCAGTTCTAGTAGAATTAGAAACTAACTGCTCTAATAGAATTAGAAACTAACAGCTAACTAACAGCTACTAACTAACAATTTCTATCCTAACAGAACTAACAATTCAACAAAACTTCTTTTAACCAACTTCTAACCATACCAACTGACATAACAGAACTAAAACCCTTTTCCTTGCAGCCCAACTAACTTCTAACTAACATATTCCCAACCAACTTCTAACTGATTCAAAACCAACTGTAACAAAAATCCAAAACAAGTTTCAACTAATTTTTTTTCTTCTGCAGACTGTCTCGCTAACCCCCATTCTGCTAACAGAATTTCCAAAATAGAATTCTAACCAAAGCAATTTTCTTTTCATCTATTAACTAACTCGTAAAACTGTTTCTAACTAACAGTTAGCAGCAATGAACTTCTAAACAAATTTCTCTAACCAACTCACTCTCAAAAACAGAATTCAACATAACTAACTAGCACCTCTAATCTCATCCATCAAAATCCATAACTAACATTCACATCAAGGGTTTAGATCAATTCAGTCCCTAACTAACTTCTGTAACAAACTTCTAATAGAATTATATAACAGAACTCACCAGATTGATTTCATTTGGGGGGTGGGGGGGATTCTCTGAAGGTTCACCAGTACATAACTCTCTCTTCACTCTTCATTTCTAATAATCCTTCATCATCTTCACCATTCTTCAATCATTCATAAAAAATCACAAAAGAAAACTCTTATCTTCTCTCTGCACTCTCTTGATTCACGATCTCAGAACTTCAACAATCTTCATCTTCTCGGACAATCTTCAACGCCTTTTCATCTCTACAACCTCATCAACCTCGAACCTGAAATTGTACACTTCTGTAATTCTTCAATCATCTTCATACAACAACTTTGGTCTTCATTTGATTCATCACCTCCATAATAAATTGCACCATATCGTATTCGCACATCATCATCATTTTCTGCAACATAGACTTCAACATCAAACTTGCAACGATAACACTCCATCAGTAACTCAGAAGAAGTAGAGGAAGTTTCAGATCACACACAAAAGAAAGTAGATTGGAAAAGGAGAAGATAAGCAGAAAGAATTTATACTTGTAATCACTATCGGAATCTCCCCTCTGGCCTTCGATACTCGCACCTCCAAGAGCTTCGCAGGTAAGTACACTCGTCTTCTCCGATTCTTCATTGTATTTTTCCATTCTTTCTTGATGCCATAACATGGTTCAGAGAATACAGAATCGTAACCCTATGCCTATTGCGGAAATCCAAGTTACATGGCCATGAATTGATGGTTTTCAATTTTCAGGGTTTTGTTTCGAGCTCAGATTCGATATGTTTGGTTAGAATCAAGAGAAATTACGAAGTTGATTGGACTTAGCAGGAGGAGATGAGATGAGATGAGGTTAGAGATGGTTATTTGGGATCGTGGTGGTGACGGCGGTGATATCGCCGTAAATCGCAAGTAGGAGAGGAAGAAGGGGTTTCTGTTAGGAAGGTCAAGAGACACAAACTCAACCCTAACCTCCTTGTATCCAAACGACAATGTTTTCCTCCTTTATAACATCTAACTTAATTTTTTCATTTTTATTTTATTCATTAAATAAATCTAGAATAATTGGTTTTTTTGTGATATGGATTGGGTTGAATAGTACCAATAGATCAAGCCCAAATGTGTTTTTTTTATGTGCAGAAGCTAATACCAGAAAAGGCTATTTTGGACCTTATGTCTGATGGGCTTTAGCGCCAAGCTTTTGTACCTCGGGCGCTTATTGAATGTAATGTTCGGTTAATGACCTAAAGGAATATATGCGGATGAATGAAAAAAGTATAAGCCAAAATAAAGGAAATTAGGAGGGCAAATTTTGGGGTGTAACAGTTATACATCGACGACTCCAAACATAAGAATGGAAATTGTATTGGAATCCTTATTAGTTCCCCCAAAGGGATCCCAACCAAGTTCAAATCAAAATCCAAGGGTCCTTCTAAACTAATGAGGCTAAATATGAAGCTTTAATTGCAGACCTCATGATCCTGCTAGACTTGAGGGCAAAAGGAGTCGAAATTAAAGGCGATTCAATGTTTGTTGTGAAGCAATTGACAAAAGAATATAAATGTATAAAAAATAATTTATTAATGTACTTTGTCACAACCAATTAACTGCTAAAAATATTTTATTTAATGGACATCAAACATGTGCCTCGACTAGAAAATCAAAAGGCTAATGACCTAGCATAAGTTGCTTCAGGTTAGAGTCTCCAAGGAAAAGTTAGAATAATTAATCCAAGTTAAAGAAAAATTAATTTCAACCATTATCCTCCCTTCAGAATTGTCAAAGTCAAAACTAGTGGGGGTAGAAGGGCTGGAAGATTTGCAAAATTCTGAAATTTCGAAAATTTTCCATTGACAATCTGTCAAATAATGATTGAAGAAAATCAATTATAGAATTTTTTAAAGATCCAACGGGAACAACAGATCGAAATGTAAAATACAAAGCATTAAGCTATGTTGTCATTGGTAATGATTTTTTTAAAAATTCCCCAGAGGGAATTCTACTTAAATGCCTTAGTGAAAGCAAGGTGTATGTGAAAATGCCTTGCACCCCCTGACCCTTTTATTTGCATTCTTAGGGTTGGTTTTATTTTTGTAAAAAATATGATAAAGGCAATCAAATAAAAAATTAGTAGAATATAATAGAGGTTTCTAAGAAGTAATTCTTTAGTTTTTTGGAGTTTCCCTTACATAAAAAAAACTAACTAATAAATAAAAATGCTTTTCTTTTTGTTTTCTAAAAAACTAATAAATAAAAAATACTTTTTTTATCTTTTTTTAGTTTTATCCATATTTGCATGCCGCTTCTCCATGTTATTGTTGACGCGTTTGTTCATTGTGCAAGGTACATTTTTGTGCTTTCGATCATGTAATGTAACAGGTAGTTATGTGATCGAAGTATACAGCTTATGCTCGCTTACGATGCAATACGCCTTATTTATCATCGTCTCGAGAGATTCATGTTTTATTATATGTTGTCCTGACACATACTATTTTGTGATACTTTACACAGGAACTTCTGACTAGGCGTTGCATTTGCAACACGCGTTTGCCTTTATCTTAGTTGGATATTGTTTATGACTTTATTTGTTTCTTGGTGAAGCTTGCTCGATGTGTACTCCATGCTTCTCCATTACTTTCGTCCGCTCTTGACGATTCGCTCGCTTTTGGTAGTCACCACTACTACCTTCGTATTTCTTCGCACTTTACTATATTCATTTACCACTTTTCTAGATATCATGAGAAGTAGGAAATAAAGAGCGTGCGCTCGAAGTCGCTGTTTAAAGACCTGTAGCAGGCATTTCGCACTTCATTTGCTATATGTGTTGTGCTTGTATTTGTTTATATGGTTGTTGATCGATGAGTCACTCAATTTAGGAATTGAGATCACGACTTCGCTCTCAGTGCATGCTCCCTATAGGACTTTATCGCTTTCCTTTATTTCTTGTTGATCAATGAGTCACTCAATTTAGGAATTGAGATCACGACTTCGCTCTCAGTGCATGCTCCCTATAGGACTTTATCGCTTTCCTTTATTTCTTGTTGATCGATGAGTCACTCAATTTAGAAATTGAGATCACGACTTCGCTCTCATTGCATGTTCCCTATAGGATAGCTTTGTTATACTTTCTTTGGCATGCTAACTTAGATAGGATCTCTCTAGGTGTGCTCTCTTGAGCTTATAAGCTTGCTTGCTTTATCCTTGTACATACCATGTTCCCTTAGGATGCGCTCGTTCCGTTCGGATGCAAGTTAGACCTTAGGTTGTAAACCATGAATGCTAAAATTAGGTAGATGTTTCCATTTCATTCATCCTTGACTTAGGGCTACCATTGTATGATAACATTAGGGATAAATTTAGGTTAGTCTCCCCTTAGACTTTTCTTTCCCATTTTGCATTTGCATTAAAACAAAAACTTCTTTTTCTTGTAAACTTCAAAACACTTAAAAAATACTGATGAGAATCATACCTTTGTTGAGCATAGGAAATGATAAGCGGGTCTCTTCTCGATCTTATTGTTTTTCCGTTCTAAGCCTTGGTGTGGTTCAAGTCTCAAAGACTTATTTCAGGAGTAAGTGGAGAAATAGTTGAAATCCCTCTCTTGAGATTAACTAGCTGTTATCCACAAGCAAAAACACCAATAAACACAAACTCCTTTTGCCTATGGGCTTTTCTCTAAAACCTTTTTCAAAAGAGCATGTTAATTCACTTTTGTGCTGACGCGTAAGTCTCCAAAGGTCGAGTTACGGAAGAAGGAGAAATTAATATTGTTCATTAAAAAAATACAAACCAACAAAAATATATGAGCCGAACTATGGCTGCTCTGATTCCTTAAAAGGGATACGTAGGCATCGGGGTAGGGCCCGAACGAGCACAACTTTTATTTTTCCCTACATTCTTTTTCTCCTTTCTTTTGCATGCATTCCCTGTACAACTTAGATATAATTTGAAACACACCCTTTGATTAGAACAACAAGAGTGGATACCGTAGAGTACTACGGGTGTGTGGGGTGCTAATACCTTCCCCTTGTGTAATAGACTCCCTTACCCGATCTCTCGGTCGCAAGACCATGACTTCTACCTTCTTTGGTTTTCTCAATGTTTACCTTTCCCCTCTCGTGGGATAAAAGACGCTCGATGGCGGCTTCATTGTTTGATGATTTTCAGCCGGTTGTTTCAATAACTTCCAGGGTTTTATCTCAACATAACTCTGCGTTACTTTGACTATTGCATGATCTACAATATAATCAACAATAATTTGGCCTTTAAAGGCGCATAAGTTAGGGAGTATTCAGTTGAAGCTAGAGCCCATTTTCCAATTCGGCTATGTAAAATAGGCTTTGACAACATTTGTTTAATAATGTTGAAATGAGAATAGACGTAAACATCTGTTGGCTTTATATAATATTTTAATTGAGTACAAGAGAAGTATAAACTTAGGCACAATTTCTCCATGGGCTATATTTGGTTTTTGCATCGTTTAAAACTAAGATAATAAATGGCCCTTTCGATGCTATCATCATCCTCTTATGCTAACATATTGCCCATTGTCGAATCAGATGAAGAAATATACAACTTCATAGATTTATTCCTTATAGGAGGTAACACTATAGAAGAATTCAACATGTATATCTTAATCTCCTCAAAGGATTTTTAATGTTCTGGTTTCCATCTAAATCATTCTTTTTTCTTCAGACGTAGCAAAGGTAGAAAACTTTTTTCTTGCCACTTAGATTTGAAATAAACCACCTTAATAAATTTATCTTTCCAATCAATGATTGAAGTTGCTTCTTTTTTTATGGAGGCTCTGTATTTAATATAGCCTTCTTCTTGTTCTAATTTAACTCTATGCCTTTCTTGTGAACCACAAAACCTAGAAAGTCACCTGCATGAACACCAACAGCATATTTTAATGGATTCATGTTAAGTCCATATTCCCTCATCCTTTTAAAGGATTGTTGAAGGTGGTCTAAGTGAAAATTTTCGACGCATTTTAAATGACTATATCATCAATTTATACATGCATAAATGTATCAATGAAATTATGAAACATATGACTCATCACCCTTTGGTACGTCGTACCAGCATTCTTTAGGCCAAAAGGAATCATTACCCATTAGTAAGTTCCTAAGGCTCCAGGGCATTGAAATTCCATTTTCAACATGACCTCCTTTGCAATGAAAATTTGGTTGTATCCGGAATAACCATCTAAAAGACTTAAATACTCAAAGCATGTCGCTGAATCGACTAGCATTTCTTCCACAAGCATAGGATATTCATATTTTAGAGTAGCAACATTTAGATCTCTAAGGTCAATACAGACTCTAAGAGTCCTATTATTTTTAATCATAGGGATGATATTTTCTCATTATTCTACATATATGGTAGTTATTATGAACTTATTACTAAGAAGCCTTTCGATCTCTTTTTTTTTTTGACATTATTTTTGGTGCAAACCTTCTTGACGTCTGTTTCACAGGCCTTTTGTCAAGTCGAATTAGTAGTTTTAATTCCACCAAATCTCGATCGAGTCCTCAAATTTCATTATAATCCCAAGCAAAAGAGTCTTTGAATTCTTTCAGTAACTCAACTATTTGGGACTTCAGCTTTGGCTCAATTTAGGAACTTATGAATATTGGCCTTTTGATTATTCCATTTTCCAAATCAAAT